TAGGGAAAGGCAGGATGAGGGAGCCTAGGTTAAAGGATCCTTCTTTGCCTCCAACCCGAGGTGGTTGCAAGGAGTGCTCAGCAATTGTTGGTTGCTGCATTTAATGCCTTATGGAGGTTTGAGATGTTTTTATTTTCTTCCTGGAACTGAGGGCTGCAGATGTTTGTTGGAATCCACTGATGACTTGGTGTGGGCAATAGTGTGAGTAAAGCAGAATTAAACCCCCTGGAGCTGGCTTGAGAGTTGAATCCTGACCCTTTCTATGCCAAGCAAGAGTTTTACTTCAAGCTAAGTTGTCTCTTGGTAAAAAGCATCACTGCAGAAGGCAGAGTAGGTCCACAAATGAAACCCCAAGTCCATTTGAAAAGCTCTTCTGTGGTGGGTTTGTGTACGAATCAATGTCAGGTGCTCATCTGTACCACAACACAGTGTGTGGTTTTACTCTGTGAGCCATGAGGCTGCAAACACCCCAGGTTTGTTCTCTCTGGGTGAATATCTCCATAACAGCAACGGGCATTGGTTGCCAACACTTGCTTGTGCTGCCTTTGGACACCAGGGCTTGGATGCAGGTGGAGCCTGCCCTGGAGAAGGTCCAGGCTGCAAGGCTGCACGGGGAGGGGTGATGTTTTCTTGTGTCAAACAGGAGATGTTGGAGAGTGATGAAAATAGCCGAGGAATTGTGGGCTACAGTGTCTCTGAGGTGAAGGAAGGACTGAACACAGCAGGGGACAGCCCTGAGTGTGCTGGAGAGGTTGAGTTGTCCATGGCATGTGCAAAGGGACACTGGGAAAGGCTGGATCATGGGAATGCTTTGCTGGGGTTTGAACAATTGCATAACTGGAAGCTTTGGCTGTTGGGCAAAACCAGACAAGCTGCAGAATCTGCAAGAAAATATAGGGATGGTGACTGGGGCCTGGAGCTGCATTTAGACACAGAATGGCTGAGATGGGAGGTGACATCTCTGCAGTGCAGCCCTGCAGGGATGGAGCTCAAGGTACTTGGGTCTCTGCTGCTTGCAGCCCTGCAGGGATGGAGCTCAGGGTAGCTGGGTTTCTGCTGCTTGCAGCCCTGCAGGGTGTAGTATTTTCTTTCTGCACTGTGCATGTTGCAGGCAGGTCAGCACTGAAAGCCACTGGCTGTCACTGCTGCCTGACACCCACCAATTTATGTCACTTGGACCACTGAGCAGCCACTCAGTGACACTGCTATTTTTTTTCTTTACTGGAGAGCCAAAAATCCCAGCTAAAGGGAGGTTTGATCTGGTTCCATGGCGACAGAAAGCTCTGCAACTCTGCTTTATTCTTTAAGCACTAGGCCCTGGGAGACAAGTTTTAGAAACTCCCAACTCCAGGAAGTTTTGCTGCCCTCAAACCTGGAAGGATAAAGGTTGAGTCAGAAGAGCCAGCCCAGCATGTGCTGGGTGCACCCAGCCTGGGTTATTTAAGCAGAATCTATGGCTTTTCTGACAACAGTCACAAGATTACATGAGCTGTGCTTGTCAGTTCAGCTCTTTAGACAAAAAAAGAGGTAAAGCATTAAAAAAACCCCTCAGAACATTTTTGTGAGTGTGTGTAAAACATCAGCAGTTAATCATGCTGAAGGATCAGGCTGTGAGCAGATATCGGATCCCTGGTGAGAATCAAATTCCGGAGCCCAGAATTTCGCTGCAAAGTTTATACAGTGGGGATTCCTCTAATTACTTTCAGTGGAAATTTACCTGACAGAGCTTTCCCAGGTAAGGCAGGCATATGCGGGAGAGCCTCTCAGTTGTTGACAGAGCCTTTGATTTTGTGCCAGGTTGCAAATTAAGTCTTTTGCCAAGGTACCCGAACACTTGCTTGTCAATCGCTTATTCACATCGCGCACCCGGTGCAGCTCGTTTCATCTGCTCAGGAAGGCAGAGCCTGGTGACAAAAGTGTTGTCCAAAGTTGTTGTCTTTTCTTTCCTCCCCCTCATTGGTCAAGTCAACAAGATGATTCTCCTTGGAAAGGCACCTTGAATATCTGTGCCACTTGGAATTCTCTACTGAGCAAAGGGAAAACCCTGGGGTGCGTCAGGGACACGTGGAGCTGCCTTGACATGTGGATGGATTCTGTCCTGCATCACTTCTGTGAGGCATTGCTGTCCAAATCCTTCTGGGTTGATCTGACAGAGCCCTGGAAATCAGTTGTGACCAGTGTTGACTTGCTGGTTTGGAATGTGGTGGTGTGAACATGATGATGAGTGACACAGGGACAGGACACATCCCATGAACGTGGTGGGCGGGGGTATTTGCCTGTGCTGGGTGCCTGAGGTACATCCTCGTGCCTGTGCTGGGTGCCTGAGGTACATCCTCGTGCCTGTGCTGGGTGCCTGAGGTACATCCTCGTGCCTGTGCTGGGTGCCTGAGGTACATCCTCAGATGGGTTTAGTCTCACATCAACAGATGAAGGGAGCTGTGGTGCTCAGTCCCAGCCTTGCTGGCCAAACCTCAGCCCAGCAGCCATGTCACTGCAGGCAGAGGCTGTTTGCCTTGTCAGTCACTGAGGAAGAGGAGGGCAGTAGAAGCATCTTGCTGAAGTGAGTAAGGAGTTAACTTCTGTTTGGTTTTGTAAAATAAAAGTTACTCCATTTCAGCAGCTTCCCTAATGAACTGCCCATCAGGACACAGACTGGCTCCCTGCAACCTGTTTGTCTCAGTGAACTGGAGGGCCCAGGGGCCAGGTTGGTCCTGCAGAGCGAGACATGGAGCAGGAACCAACACCCAGAGTGGGAGAGCCTGTAAATCACCAGGGTTAGCTTAATAGCCTGGGCCATTATTCTAAAGCAGTGGGGCTGAAACCCAAATCCAAATGAAAATACAGTCTATTTGTCTATACTTTACTGACTGAATGACTATGTAATGTCATGCAGCCCTGGAAATACAGGGAGCAAGCAGAGGCAATTAGTGGGGAGAGCAAAGCTCCTTTGTTTGCTTCTCTCCCCCTTCCTCTGCAGGCTCCAGCAGGTGCCAGGAGATGGTCTGGCAGGGGCTGAAGGGGAAGTCCAGTTTAAGAACCAGTGGTGACATCCACATCCAGTTTCTGCAACTCTCTAAGGGGTCAGGATGGGGAAAAGAAAAATCCTCCTTGTTGATATGGGTCTGAAGGAACAAAATCTCCTCTTCCTGCTGCTCCTTGCTTGGGGTTACAGCTGTCTTGGTAGTGGGGTGCTCTGCATTGCTCCCCCCAGGCCCAGAGCAGGAGAGACTTGGAGGTGTCATGACAGGTATGACAAGGGGTAACTAAGTGTCAAGAAGGATGAGTGGCTCAAGGACATGTGGAACCTCTGCATAGGCCTTAGGTCACATGGAAAAATAATCCCAAGCGGGGCTGTGGTCAGGGCAATGGACTGTCAGAATATTCTTGTCCAGAGTTTGAAGTTGTTCCCAGGTCATGAGCATTTTTTGTAAAGGTCAGAGCAGGACAATGTCAATTGAAGGCTGGTGGGGATGAATATGCAGATGGAAGCCTGTTCACAAGCTTTGTGTAAAGTGGTATTTCAGTGGCTGCTTTTTGTGCAGCAGGATGAGGGTGTTAGATAGATTAAAGGCAGTTCTGGGTCACTACAGGGCTAATGACTGGCCTCCCCAAGCCCTTGAGTCTTAAAAAAACCTCACAAGGTGGTTATTCACCACCATATAAGAGCCTGAGAGAGGTTTCATGACAAACACTGTAAGAACAAGCTCCCTCAGCTCTTCAGAGCACTGCTCTCTGTCACCCTTGCAAAGGAGGGACTGATGGAGTGACTCTGGCTTTGGTTGAAGGGTTAGGCCAGTTTGTCTTCCATGACCATTCCATCACCACCTATGGAGAACCCAACTTTACAGAGATAGTTAAAGCACAATTTAGAGGCTAGCAAGTGTCTTTGGGAACCATAAGCTTTCTCTGGGTTCTTACTGCTTTTAAGTGGGTAACTGTTTATGGATGTTCAAGAGAACTTATTTTTCCATGGAGGAAACCATGCACTGAAACTCAGCAACAAATTTCCTGAACCAGGTTCTCACGTGGGCTGTGCCTGTTAGATCTGCAGCTGGGGCAAAGCAAACCTTCCAGGCTGATGTAATGAGAGGAGGAGCCCAAAATCTGCAGAGGCTGTGCTAAACTGTCCCTCTTCCTTTGGCTGCTCCTCCTGGGAAGGAAGGGAAGAAGAGGGGAAGAAGAAAGAGAGAAGAAAAGACTCGGAGGCTTGAGAGCTGTAGCTGGGGGAGAAACCCAACCATGGTCATGGATGAAACAAAAAGGGAAAGCATGAAGAAAAACACAGGCTGAAAAATGAATAGTGATGGAAAGGTCTGGGGTGAGGGGAGCTCTAGAGAGGAGGTTTGCCCCAGGATCTCGTGTGACTTCCACAAGCTGTTTAACAGCAATTGCTCATGTTCCTGCCCTGACACGTTCGCAGCAGCAGCAGCAGCTCCATGCTGACAGGAAGGGGGGGTAAATGATTACTGACATATGCTAATTGGACACTCTTAGACAGGACGTAAGAGGAATACATCAAGGTGGTGTGAAACACCATTTCTTGGTTGAAACTCTCCAACTTGTACAAGTAAATCAGCTTCAGGAAGTCACAAAGCTGCTTCGATGCTTTAAACTGTGGTTAAAAATCAACAGCACAGCAAAAATACCCCAACAAATATCAGAACAAGGGCTGGGGCAGAGGACTGAGAGGCTGTTTGCAGTTGTATCTATCAATGCCAGGGATGATTTTGGCCAGGTAAATTCCCTGTGGAGTTTCAGTGCTTTCAGACTTGCTGGTGTCTCCCTTTTCCTTGCCCAGCTCTTTTTCCTTCTTTCATAAAATGTCCCCTAGCTCTTTGAGTTTCCCTGGAATTTCCACCACAACCAAAGCTGACAGGATTCAGACAAGTACCCCAGAGCACAGCAGGATGCCCAGAGGAATTCAGGGAGGTGCTTGGATACCATTGCTACAACAGGACATTTTCACCTTGGCTCTGATCTGGATGGATGAAAGGAGTGTCATGCACATCTGTAACCTGGTTAGACCCTCTGCTCAGTCTCAGGGGGAATATTGTCAAACAGGTAGTTTAGAGAGGCATCAAGAGTGTGGGCTTTCTGGAAAGCCCTGACTTTTGGGGTTAGAATGCTTCTTGAAACATCTGGGGTGGTTTGAATGGGTTATGGTGAGAGCTGGTAAAATGGTAGGTTATCAAAATGCAGGTTTGACTGTCCTGCTGGGGCTGGGCAGCTGTGGGGCTGCCAGCAGGGAACAAAGGCCACCTCAATGCTAACAGGGAGATATAAAAAGATGCTCCTCATCTTGTGAAGCTCTTGAGCTTTTAGGGCTTATGGTTGCAAAAAGTACCCAACTCTAAAGTCCAAAAGGAGCTGATGTGTGAACACATCCAGCATGGGACTGTTGTAGGGTCTGGGTCTTGGAGCTCTGAGGTGCATGAGCCTTGTGTCAGCCTTCACTGTGTGCTAAGAGTGTCATGAGGACAGGTGGGCAGGGTGAGGAGGGGTTTCTGAGCTCAGGTGAGTGCTCCATACCTTCTCCAGGCTGGGCAGGTGCCAGAAGGACTCCTCCTGGGGGGGTGCTGGGTGTTTTCGCAGGAACGTGGTGCGATTATCACGCAGTTTGTGTATCTGAAACCAAAGGCAAACAAGAAGGGGCTGGAGGGGCTGCCCAGCTGTGCACACCAGGCTGGTGTCACACACTGTAACCACAACAGGACAAGCTACACCAAAAGTCAGCTTGGACTGATGATCACAGGTGCATGATCTGGGTAGTTTCTCATGTCCCTGCAGCTGATACTGATACTAAAACACAGTGATGAGAGAAACATAAGCAGCTGCCAGGGCTCTGGCTGCTTGACATGGCATCCCAGTGAGCTGCCTGCAGGAAGCCCTGAGCTCCAGGCTAGAGCAATGGCCCAACACCACCTGGGAAAGCCACTTCCACCACCCCCATTCTGGGGGGCTTTCCTGGCTGGCTGCTGTGTGGTGCTCTCCTGATGACTGCAGCTTCCAGTGCCTGACAGTCCCAGCACAAGGCAGGGCAGGTACCTGGTGAGTGTTTTGGCCACTGCGTGAAACTCCTGGGGAACCTGCTCTGTGGGTTAGGATGTAGGTTTGTGCTGCTTAGCTCAGGAGTTGGTGCAGGCTTTGGGAACTTGATGGGAGGAACTTAGTGGTTAAAAACATCAGTCATTAATAGATAGGTAGGGATGCACATTCCAACATCCTAGGCTTGTGTATTCATAAAATAGCTGCTAATTAAGAACACTGTGTTCTTGCACTTCAGCTATAAAGCATAGTTTGTGATGGCAGGAAGCCCATTGAAATTGGTCATTACCATATTAGCTCGACTCTTCTTTGAGCCATTAACTAATAAAACAGTCATTGGCTGCTTTTAACTGTTATTACAATATTGGTGTGTTTAGCAGCACAACGTTGCACTCCAACAGCTGCTGGGGGTGTTGGCATCAACCACACCATGCCTGGATCAGGGCTGGTGCTGGTCCTTTGGGGGTGTCCACTGTCACAGGTAACCTGAGCAGAGCTGATGCTGCCCAAAGCAGAGTCTGCAGAGCTCCTGGCATGAGGAGGACAGAAATACTGAAGATAACTTGAAACTTATTTACCACAGCAGGGGGGGTTTACTATTGTAGTGACCCTGGGACTAGGGGCATATTGATGCAGACAGGTGCTTGCTGATGGCTGGGAAGGTGTCTGAGCCTTTGAAAGGACTTGGCTAAGGCACTGCTGCCCTGGAGAGCTTGCTCAGTTCCTGGGGGTATCTTCAGATACAAAACCACTTTAAAAATCCCCCTTTTCATCCTGTCTCCAGAGCACTTCCCTGCACACTCATTGTTAGGGGCACACCTGGTGTTCATCCCGAGGATGTCAACCCACAGGATATGTTCTGGCTGGAGCCAGGCCCATCCTGGCTGGGAAGCAGCTCAGCTTTGTCAGGCTTCACCAGCCTTCTGGTGGCCAGGGAGGATGTTTTCCCAGTTGAGAGCCCTCCCCACGGCTGGGAGAAGTCCATCCACAGTGAAGTGGGACATCCATGGAGGATTCTGCCTGGGAGCAGAGCTGTGCACAGCAGGGGAAAGCACTGCTGGAGCAGTGTTACCTTTTTCTTGTCTGTTTCCTCGTGCACTGTCAGGGCTCTCTGCTGCTCCATCCACAGCTCCTTGTATTTGTGCTGGAGGAGATCAATTAAGGGGGTGCAAGTCCTGGAAAACATGGAAAAGACAACAATGTCTGGGATTAACATCTCTTTACCCTCCCTGTACTGATTCATATCTGATGGTGGGCAGTAAAAGTGCTGAGCAGGGCAAGGTCTAGACATGGAGAGCTGGGCCTTTGTGTTGCCACCCAGGAGCTCAGAGGAGCAGCCCTGGCTGGATCCCCTCCAGCCTGACCCAGCCAGGCCTTCCTGGGAAGAACCTCTGGGTGCAAAGTGTGTGGTTTGCTAAAATGGCACTTCTGCCATGAAACCTCCAGTGCTGTGGTATGTGGTGAAGCTGCAACCAGGTGATAGGATGGACTGGGTGAGAGGACCAAGAGCTGTCCTAGGCAATGGGAGCAGGGAGAAAAATGGGCTCAGTGCAGATGGTCTGGGGGCTGCAGCAGAAAGGGGAGCTGAGACGCTGAGCCCTGGACTAGTGCCTCAGTGCACAGATCAGGTGTATTTGCCCCTTGAAAGGGGTACCAGGGAGCATCCTGGCCAGGGGGACAGCAGCAGAGGGGAGCTGCAGATGACCATAGTTCTAGAAAAACAGTAAAAATAAAAGGCAGTTGCTTGTTGGTCAGTGTCCTGCTCAGCTGCCCTGAGCTGGCATTCACCTGAGCAGCCTGTGGCAGAGCTGCAGCCTGAAGCTGCTGAGCCTGTCTCCTTGCAAGTGAAGTGAGGATGCTTGACCTTCCTCAGCCATCAAAGGAAGCCCAACTGGCAGTGGCAGCAGCAGGGTCCTTGCCTGGAGGACAGCATATCACTTGTTGCCCTGATCCTGCTGCTATTCTTTTCCCCCAGAAGCAAACCCTTGAAGGTGAGGGAGAACCTTGATCTTAAGTTCTGCTGGTCCTTGTCCTTCCATGTGTTGCTGGGGAGGGAATTTACCCATCTCAGTAGCAACTTATCCCAGTGTGGAGCCATCAGCCCCAGCTCTGCACCCACCTGCAGCTTGCAGTGCTGCAGTTCCCCTCCCAGAAAGGTAAAGCTTTTCCTGCCTCTCCAGACCAACTGCAAGACACTGGGGGCTTGGACTAACTGCTGGGTCACTTCTGGCCAACAACTCAACCAGAGAGCACCTGTTTGCCACAGAGTGAGCTGGTGCTTTGTGGCTTTGGGCAGGAGTGGGTCCAAAATGCTCCTCAGCCAGCTTTCAGCAGCCTGGAGAGTCCTGGATGATCAGGGAGGGCACCAGCAGCATGTATGCAAATAGTAACTCTTCTGTTTCTTGTTCCTTCACCCCTGTGGTGACTTTTATTACTTAATTATTGCACACCACATGCTTCAAAACAGCCTAATCTATGGTTGTGTTTTCTAATGATACTAGATGTGCAATCCAGCAATATCCATCCCGAGGGGGCATTCATATCAGAGGAGACATCCTCCTGCAGGCCTCCTGCTCCATAGATCACTTGCTGCAGGGCTTTTCAAAGCTCTGCTTACAAATCAGCTGTGTTGCTCTAGACCATTATCTGGGGACACCCAGTGCCAAAGGGGACACCAATATTTACCCTTTGTCTTCCCCTCCTCTCTCTGCTCCTTCCCTTCCAGTTTGGCATTTCACACTGATCAGAGCTGGGCCAAATACTGACAAAGGGTACAACATGTGGCAAACCTGTGGCCAAGTGTCTTGTTATCTGGGTGAGTCTCCAGCCTCATTGCATGGTGTAAATTTTGGTAGTTCTGGCAAGAGGACTGGTGAGCTGTCTATGTGGTCTTGTTTCCCTTTGCTCTCCAGGGCAGGAGGTTCCCTGGTGTGCAGGAATAGCAAGAAGGGATGCAGGGAAACATTGAGCCTTTGTGTGTAGCCTTTGATTATTGATTTTTGTGGAAGCTGAATGTGTTTTCACATCTCTATGGAGGTGACTTTTACCATCTCCAGTGGACCAGGCAGTTGGTGACTGATCAATCCACAGCTGGCTTGTAAGTAAATGCTCGAAAGGACACATTTGGGTTGATGCTCTTCAGAGAACCTTCCCTGCAGTGTGATTAATCACATTGAAGTCCTGATCCAGCAAAGTATAGACCCATGCCTGGAACACCACACGCATGAGCTGCTGCTTTGAAATGGGTGGGAAGGACTTGTGAGCTTCATTGTGCACCCAAGCTCTGGTGGGGCTGCAGGACATGAGGCTTCATCTGGGTTTTTCTGCTTCATCTAGATTTTGCTGCCTCCTTTGAGAGGAATACTGAGAAAGTGGGGAAGAGCAGGGGGTGTCAGGTAACACTTCTTGGACTCAGGTTATTTGAGACACTTCAGCCAGGTGGCTTTTTCTTTGTAGGTCAAATGTTAGGAGTGGATGGGGAATTTTGGCCTCAAAGTCAGTCCTGCTTGGCAGTGTGACAGGACTTCTCAGTTGGCCTTTGGAAAAACATCCTCTTGCCTTAGTGCTGCTTAAGGACAGGACTGAAGGGCTGGTGTGTTCTGCTTCCTTTTGCCACCCTGCCCAGTTGTGACTCCTCTGAACTGGGAGGATTTTGCTGCTCTGGTCTGTAGGGAGAGCAGAGGAAGCCCCCTCTGAAAACACTACTTGGGGGATTAAAATCCACCTCTTTCAGGGGAACTCAGATCTTGTTTTGGCACAATTGCCCTGCCCCAGGAAGGAAAGGGAAAAGTCCTGATAGGCTGCAACAAATGATTTATGATTGTAGAAAAAAAAATTAATCAGCTTCTTCCTTTTATAGCCAAATACCTGGAGACACTTCTGCTGTTGACAATTCCTAACTATTTAAAAATCCACCTGTGCACATTTTCAGAACTATTATCTCTGAAACAGTTCCTGTGTCTTTAATAGACTCTCTAATTTACTTTGAGGAGTCAGGGTACAGACCTATTTTCAACTGAAATGACAAGCTCCTGCTAACTTGGTTATACAGTGTGGTGTGCTAGTCTGCCAGGAATCTCTTGGAAAAGAAGCTGCAGCCTCCTAATAGGCTATTTTACTGTAAAAAACAATGTTAAGAAAAGTATAATAAAGTATTAACAATATTAAAATAAAACAGTGTAGGCCTTAAATGAGCTACAAACTAGTTAAGTCTATTCTATTCAATAGGAGCTTTCAGTGCTTTGCAGCTGATACCTCAGAGCTGGGATTTACCTAAAATGAAGGCACCAGGGACGTGCAAGAGAAATGGTAATTATGATTTGCAAACATTAGGCTGACACTCTTTTTGTGTATGTGTGTATAAATCCTGACAGCTGGGATTTGTGCCCTGCCAAATAGTGCTCCAATAGCCGGGGCACGGCTCCCTTTCTGGCAGGTTGTCCTCAGAGCAGCAGCTCATTAAAACTTTGGAGAAGGAGAAGTTGCTGAAAACAGGAAGGCGTCAGAACCATCTGAGGGACTTTTGGTACATGCTTGTTGAAAGGTGTTTGAGAAGAGAGCCTTGGGTCTGACAAACTGGAATTTTAGTGCGTCTCTCCGTTCGCAGCGGGGCAAAATAATTGGTCATCAGTGACTACTAATTTGGTTTAGTAGCCAGAGGCAGTTTTTTTCTTCCCAGAAAATCAATGACAGTGCCGGGGTCTGTTCAATGTGATTCAGCTCGAGACGGGTCCTCATTTAGCTCTTGATGCTCCTTCCATGGGAGACAGCTATTTTGTTGAAATGAAATTAAAATCCATCTCTCATCCTCAGCGCGGGGAGCGGCCCTGTCGGGGCCACGCTGCTCTTGGGGGCTCAGGGTTGTCAGTCTCCCCTCAAACTTCTCTTCAAAGGTTGATATATCAACTTGGGGGATGGGAAAGGTATTTGGCAGGAGCGGATACAAAGGATTTTGCTTGGGAAGGGGGTTTATAGCAGCTCAAAAGGTGCGATCAATTTGATTGCTGCGTTGGGCTGTAAAAGGGTGAAACTTGTCAAGACCTTTTTCTGGGTTAATTCAAAAGCAAAGAGGTTTGTAAATATTTTAGCACAATCTTCAGCCCTTGGATTTTCCAGTGTGGCTCCTGCAGCACTTTTCCTGCTCTCCAGGAGGGGCTGGAGTGGGGAGGGAGCAGAGGACACAAGAGCAGACATGGATTCCTGGTGGCTGGGATGTTTGGGATGTGCTGGGTGCTCTTATCCCATTGCTGTGGCACTTTGAGGCACCTCAGTGGCAGCAGGATCTGGCCCTCTCTGGCTGCTTATGCAACAACAACAACAAATCTTAAAATGGAGATTTTTTTATCTTGTGATATTAAAACTGTTCCAACACTTGCTGTCTATCCTGAACGTTTAACCCTTTCTTAAAGGTTCATGATGATTCAGGGGGTTTCGTGGGCCTTTGTCCTTCCATCTGAGATGATCTGTTTTTGCTGCAGAGGCAGGGTCTGCCTTTGGGGTCTTCTGTCCACAGGGGGACAGCTGCAGGAGTCACCCCCTCTGTGTTTCCTTCCCTTGTGATGGGGAGGATTTGTCCTGTGGCAGCAGCATCCACATAGAGATCTTCCTGTGGCCTGCTCAGCCAAACCAGTTGATTTCTTACTGGGAACCAGTTTGGTCTCTAGCATCTCTGGAGCGTGGGGCTCCTGGGTGCAGGTAGCACAGATGATCTTCAGCAAATCAAGCACAAGTGGGGGCTGTGGTTCTGTCTGGGGCCTCAGGGCACTGCCACAGCAGAGCAGCATTAATGCTTAGGTCCCCCCCTCCTGAAAGGGGCTGCCAGCACAGGAAAACTCTGATTACAGCTCCCTTGTTCTGCTGTCTTGCCTCCCTCCTCGCTGATGGGTTGGAGCTGGCAATCTATCTCCCATTAATTTGTCTCTGTGTAGCCCAGCAGGAATCTGGGGCATGATTACAGCTCTGGCCCTTGTGCCAGAGCCAGCACAGCCCCACAGCCCTGCAAACTGCCTGCCCTGCTGCCCTTAATTGTTCCCCTTTGGCCAGGGGACCTGTCTCTTCTAACAAGGGCAGCAAGGAGGGCCGAGGTAATTGAAGCACTTACCACACTCCCCAGCCCTGCCTCCTGCAGCTAATTAGGCAAGAGGGCCCTGGGCTCTCCCTGATTCCTTCTAATTGT